AAATTGAAGAAGACATAAATAAATGGAAAAATATTCCATGCTCTTGGATTAGAAGAATCAATATTAAAATACCTGCATTACCTAAGGCAAACTATAGATTCAAGGCAATCCTTATCAAAATTCCAATGGTATTTTTCAAAGACATGAAATAAATAACACCAAAATTTGTATGGAACCATAAAAAAGCCTGAGTAGCCAAAGAAATCTTGAGAAAGAGGAAGAAAGCTGGAGGCATCATGTTCCCTGATTTCAAGCTATATTACAAAGTTATAGGAATTAAAACAGTATGGCACTGGCATAAAAACAGATAAATCAGTGGAACAGAATAGGGAGCCCAGAAATAAACCCACATAAATATGGTCAATTAATTTATAACAAAGTAGCCAAGAATATACAAGAGGGAAAGGACAACCCCTACAATAAATGGTTTTGGGAAAACTGAACAGCTACATGCAAAAGAATAAAAGTGGACCAGTATTTTACACCAACACAAAAATTAACTCAAAATGGATTAATAACAAGAAAATAAGACCTGAAACTTTAAAACTCCTAGAAGAAAACATAGGCAGTAAGCAATTTGCATAGGTCTTGGTAATAATTTTTAATCTGACACAAAAAGCAAAAGCAACAAAAGCAAAAATAAATAAGTGGGACAGCATCATACTAAAGGTCTTCTACACAGAAAAGAAAACTATCAACAAAATTAAAAGGTAACCTACAGAATGAGAGACAATATTTGCAAATCATTTATCTTATAAGGGCCCAATATCCAAAATATATGAGAATTCAAATGAGTCAAATAGCTAAATAATAATAATAATACTAATAATCCAATTTAAAAATGGGCCGAAAATCTGAATAGGCATTTTTCTAAAGAGACATCCAGATGGTCAACAGACACATGTAAAGATGTTCAACATTTTTAATCAGCAGGGAAATGCAAATCAAAATCACAATGAGATATCATTCATACCTGTTAGAATGGCCATATACAAAAGACAAGAAATAACACATTGAAGAGGCCATAAAGCAATTAGGAGAGAAAAAGAAGTAAAAAGAATCCAAATTAGATATCAAAAAATAAAATTTTCTTTTTGCAAATGACATGTTTGGATATATAAAAACTCTAAAGATTCCACCAAAAAATTGATAGAATTAATAAATAAATTTAGTGAACTTGCAGGATACAAAATCAACATACAAAAATCAGTTGCATTTCTATACACTAACAACAAAATATCTGAAATAATAATAAAGTAATCCCACTTACAATGGCATCAAAAACAATAAAATACTTAGGAATAAATTTAACCAAGGAGGTAAAAGATCTGTACATTGAAAACTATATTTCACTGATGAAAGAAATTGAAGATGTGAATAAATATAAAGATATCCCATATTCGTGGATCAGAATGAATGTTGTTAAAATGTGCATACTAGCCAAAGTCATCCTCAGAGTCTTTTTAATTTCTATCAAAATTCCAATTCTGCATTTTTCACAAAATTAGAAGAAACAATTCTAAAATTTGTATGGAACCATAAAGACCCTGAATAGCCAAAGCAATCTGGAGAAATAAATACCAAGCTGGAGGCTCACACTTTCTGATTTTTAAGCTATATTACAAAGCAAAATAATCAAAATAGTATTGTGCTGGCATAAAGACACATGGACCAATGAAATAAAAAAGGTATCCCAGAAATACACCCAGACATATAGAGTTAATTAACATGTAACACAGGAGTGAAACTACTCAATGAGGAAGAGATAGTCTTTTCAATAACTGCTGTTGGGGAAACTGGATACTCACATGCAAAAAAAATGAAATTGGAACCCCTGTCATACATGTGATCATTCCAAGTTGATTCCCCATTTAAGACAATTGCTCTAGCTATTTCCTCTGTTAAAACATTCTTACTTGGCTATAAAGCCATGGTGCAAGAACTGTGTATATCTTGTTCATTGGTGAATTTATATTACCTAGAACTGTTTTGGATAATAAAGGGTCCTTAGTAGATATTTATTGACTGGGTGAATGAATGAATACATACATAAATGCTTTTTAATGAAAAGTATATTTATGTAATTATTATATAAAACATGATCATAATTACATAAATATAAATTAAAGTAATATTTTATTTGAGTTAATTAAAAAATAACATTGTAGCCTTTCTGTCCCATCATATTAACTAATGCACAAATGATAATTAATTCTAAAAGTAAATAGCAATGCTATCTCCAGTCCATATCCAGGAATCTGCCCATTTCTTAGCAATTTCGATACTGCCATTCCTGGATATGGATTTGCTGGGTAAGAGAAGCCTAGGATATCCTAAGTTTTGGGTGTTAATGCCCAGGTGGGTGGTGGATCATTTGCCACGTCATGGAAAGGCTGGAGGAGGTGAAGGTCCCCAGGGTTGTTTAGAGGCTAAGAGCACAGGTTTTGAGGCCAACTTCCTAGGCTTTGTTCTTCATCCTGCCATTCAGTAGATAGGGAATCCTTGGACAAGCTACTTAATATTTCTATGCCTCTTTTTATGTAAAGTGAGAATAACATAGTTCTTACCTAATGGTGTTGTTTTGAGAAGTAAATAACTTAGTAAATGTCAAATGCTTAGAATAATGCCTAGTGTATGGTAAACCTCAACAAATGCTAACTATTCTTACAAAGTAAGTGATGTCAAGTAAGTGAACAAATAAAATGCAGGAATTGTTCATCAGTGTATAGATGGCAGTTAAAGACAAAAGAATGGCTGAGATCTCTGAAAGCAGATGTTCATGAACTTGATCGGAAAAAAATTACTTTATTTTCACTTTCCTCTAACTAAATTTTGCATTCCCATCAATTATTAGTGTAGACAACAAAGCACAGTGGTGTTATCAATATCTGTGATTTGTCACCAATGGAAATCACAAGTGTTTTCATAGGAGATTAAGATCATTGGAGATGTCTTAAAACATCATTTATGATCATCACTACTTAAGGGAATTATTACTTCCAAAACAAGGACACGCACGACTATATTCTCCCTGTCTCAGATGCTAAAGCATTAGTTAATGCGATGGGACCCAAAGGCCACAGTGTTGTTGTTGATAGACTATTTTTTAGAGCAGTCATGGATTCACAAAATACAGTGGAATATACAGAGATTTCCCATATACCACATGCCCCCAAATATGCCAGTGTTTTGGATTTTGGCCATTCTAATAGGTGTATAATGGCATCTCATTATTGTTTTAATTTGCAATTCTGTGACATATGATGTGGAGCATCTTTTCATGTATTTGCCATCTGTACATCTTCTTTAGTGGTGTGTCTATAAGGCCTTTGGCCTATTTTTTAACTGGTTGTTTCTTTTTTTATTATTGAGTTTTAGGAGATCTTTGTATATTTTAGATAATAGACCTTTATGGGATATATCTTTTGCAAATATTTTCTCCCAGTCTTTGGCTTGTCTTTTCATTTGTTTGACAGTGTCTTGTGCAGAGCACAAATTTTAAGTTCAATGAAGTCCTGTGTATTAATTAGTTTTTCCTGGATCGTGCCATCATAGTGTTTTATCTGTAAAAATTTTTGCAAATAGCAGGGATCTTTTCATGCAAGAAAATCTCCAGATGAAAGGATAGGATACTTCCAAAACTTAAATTTGCCATTTAACAAAATCATTTTCTCTAACATTCTCTAAGTGGAAAGAGACATTGGTTTAGCCATGTGCACTGAAAATGTTCAAGTTGGTTTTTGGATTGGAACAGACAAGAAATTGTTGAAGTTAATCCAGAGGACAGGACTGTCAATTGACCCTTGAGCTGGACCCAGGCAATTGGAGGCTCCTCACCTCCTTCCCTGACCTTTGAATGTACGTTCTGCCCACCATTCCCACATCAGGACCATTTTCAAGGTTGCAGCCTTGAAAGAGTAATGTGTTGCTGAGACTCTATTCAATACATAACAGAACCCAGAAGACCTCTATATAAACTTTAAGATTCTGGTAGGTAGATGCAGAGAAATACTCATCAAGTGGCTGCTGAAGACAAGCCTCCTAGTATGTAAACTCTTACTAAGCCTGCCACCTACCAATCTGGAGTGGCCTGCCTCCTTCTTCTATCTCTCTTTTTGCCTCCTGTACAGGGGCCAGGTTCAGATTTCACTGGGGAAGATAACCTCATGGTGTCATCACTGCTTGTTTTTGTTTTTTTTTTAACACAGACATACACTAGGAATTACAACTATACTCACAATCATGAGATGCTGCCAACATGCTGTCAGTCATGTTGCTGACAACTGTAAAAGTCATTGACATTATTCCCTGATAATTCCTCTGAATCATTGTGCTTAAGAAAACTGTCAAGAAAAAGGATCAGAATATGAAGTACATCTTTACCAAATAGTTCACTGGCTTTCCCAGAGAACAATACTTAAATGCCTGTTTGAATTAAGGACAGTTGCTTTAATTTTTCTGAAAGAAATTTCATGTCCAGAACACCTTGAAAAAAATGATTTAATCCATGCACTGGCTTACCTGCAGTTGTATTTAACCATATGAGTGAGATAAAGTTTTCGTTCCAAGCCCATATGGTTTCCACTTAAAAAAAGAAAATGACAAGTTTTCTAGGATTAACAACTGATCAGGAAGACCAGAATAGAAGCTGAAATCATTACCAGACGTTGAAGTGCTGAGGAAGGTGCTCCACCTTTGGATGATCGTGGATTTCCTTAAAAAGAGAAACCTGCAGACAACTGGGAACTACTGAGGACTCTTCGAGAAGTTACTTCTATCTTGATGGTATTAAAGTTGGATCACAGATCCATCGTCCTTTTATTTCTTATATAAACTCTATCAGATATTGTCCCAGCCAATGATCTTTGAAATTAGAACCAAATATTATTATAGTTGAAGTTTAACTCAAAAAACCTTTGAGAATTCTGATATTCTTTGATACAAGCTTTCCTGGACTTGTAAAGTCAACTTTAAAAAGCTTGAATTCCATTTACAAAAAATATATATCTTAATTAATCAAGATTTTTAATACTTATACCCATTAAAACAAAAAATTGAAGTTGATGGAATGTCAGCTTCATATGTTGTCCTGTTTAATGTTCTTATACAAGGTAGGAAATAACTTGGAAAAAGCCTTTACACTGATATTTTAATATTATTGATTATTGTTGATGTATGTTTTAAGCTTACCTATATGTGAAATACACTGCCTTATTTTTGTGTCGATAAAGATAAATATCATGTATTTTCTTTGAAATATTTTTATATTTTAATATAGTTCACTGTATAATTCTAACAATGTTATTTTGTGCATTTAAATATATTATTCTGAGAAAGAATTCATAGACCTCACTTGACTGCAAAGTAACACAAAAAGGGTTAAGAACTCCTAAGGGAGAGAGTGCAGATAGAGAAGAAACTGGGTCATATGAGTAGGATTTGAAGAACCCCGACACTTAAGAGGTCTAACAGCAGAGAACTTGACAAAGCAGACTGAGCGACAGCAGCTGTGAGTTAGGGGGAAAGCAGGACGGTTTTGCAGTGTGGTACTCAAGAGAAGAATGTGTCTGAGGAAGGAGAGGGATCACATGTTACCAAAGCTGCTAAGAGGTTCATTAAGGTAGTAGTTTCTCTTACCCTCGGGAATAGCTTTGGGAATGGGAATTTCCATAAGCCAAAACTGAGTGAATGAGCGGGAAGGTGAAGGAATGGAGATAGTATTTTTGCAAAACTTGATTCAGAAACCTTCCTTTCTTAGAGTGGGACCACAGAAATGGGGCTGTTCCTTGAAGAAGATCTGTGATCAAGACATGGATTTTATAATATGTTGGGAGTACCCGGCCAAATGCCCATGCTGCTAGAGCTGATGCAATAGAGGGAGACACTTCTGCTGGCAGAGTCTAGGGGGCGACAACCACTGGAGGGACATTATTGAAAAGAGGTGCTGGGATCCAGAGCACAAGTGTAGGGAAGGCTGGAGGTCGGGCCCAGATTCAGAAACGCTGGCAGGTTTGATAATGGCAATGCTGGGTTCTTGTCTGATTGCTGCTGAATTGAAAAAGCATGAAGCAGTGCTGTTAGAGTGGGAGAGGAGTCTGAAACAGGCATTTGGGGGAGTGGGAAGTCTTATACTAAGCAAGTGAAGTAGTGTTCTTGGACAGTGAAAAGATTTGTGATCATCACTTTAAAAAAATTTTATTTTGAAAAACTTCAAACCTGCTTGCAATAAGTATCCATATAACCTTCCCTTTCACTAAGCAGGTCTGCTCAAAGTCCAATGCTTACGCATGAGGTAAAATATGGCAAAACAGCACTACAGCTAAGAGAAAAGTACAGCCTACATAAAAGGCCTTGTAAAGTCCCTTAGATTTATTGTCTTTCTCTTTTCTTATTTAGCATATATACTATTTTTGTTGTTGCACCATTTGGAAGTTAGTTACAACATGACACAGCATCCCTCCCTAAATATTTCAACATGAAAGTCGTTCTTCTTGATGACAAATGTAACATTCAGGAAACTTAAAAACACCAATCCTATTGTCCTTGTTTAAAATTTTCTAATTGTCCATAGATTTGAACAGTTATGTTTTGTTTATTTATTAAGGATGAAACATTGCTTCAAATTCTAATGTCTCTATTCTCTTTGAACATAAAGCAGTTCTCAACTACTATTTCTTTCCTTTTTTCCCTTTTTTTTTGGTCTTTCATTCTTTCATAACATTAACATTTTTGGTAAGTCCATGCCAATTGTTTTTCAGAATGCTGTAGGTGTTACTTTAGAATGGGACTTATCAGAGGGGTTATATAATCTTCAATGTACTTCTGATGATCAGATGTATGAAGACAGTAAACTGTCAAGGTAGTTAGGTTTAAGCAGGGCTGTGTGTGATTTGAAAACAAGGTGAGAGAAGTTAAGGGCACTTGTAAGGCAGTTCTAATGGTAAGTCATCAACCTGAGTGGGTAAGGAGAGGAGTAATCACCTAAGGGGATTAATAGATAATGGCAAAGGGGTAGTTAATTGACTGGGGGAGTCTACACATGAAAGAATTAGATCAGGAACTAAGGAAATGCAGGTGATCAGTGAATCCATTTGTGCTTTTTTACTAAGCAGGTCTGCTGACAGTCCAATACTTATGCATGAGGAAAAATATGGCAAAACAGCACCACAGCTAAGAGAAAAGTACAGCGTACATAAGAGGGCTTATAAAGTCCTTTCCCATAACTTTGATTTTATGTCACATATCCTAAGAGGACAACCCATAATTCTCATAATTATGCTCCCAGCATCCCTAGTAGAAAGGAGCTGTGTTGTTGATAGGCATAGTCATGTAGAACTTTAAGTGACTAATGAAATCATTAAGCACATTAATGACAGAACTGGGAGAGAATCAGAGTAGTCCCATACTATCAGCCAAACCAAATGCTCCTCAAATCAAACTACACACATCACTACCCAAATTCACCTGCACTGTGATAATGTTGGCTGTGGTTTAATGGACGTCTGTCTTGCCAATGGGTTTCAGCCCTGGGCAAGTTCACTATGGATTCAATGAGACCAAAGAAGTAACAGTGGAACATTCTTGGGGTGAAAGGGTTTATACCCAACTTTATTCCCACAGTGGCAGATCAATCACTAGAATCCCATCCACTCACAGTGAGTCTGCACGCAGCAAGCTGGTCTCTGCCTCTGGGCCTTTCTACCCGCAGCCATCTCAGTCTCTGTCTTCGGTGCTGCCACCACTCCAGTCTCATCTCTGCTCTCCTGCAGCCTTGCAGCCTTGACACCTGTCTCCCAGAGCACTGGGCGGAGCTCTTTTATATAGAGTCCATAACAACGTATTGCCCACGCATGTGTAGTGAGCTAGCCGACCAGGGCCAGGTGAGAATCCTGGCCACAGGAACCTTCACTTTACCAACACTCCACCTCTCTGGGATTCTTGCCTCTTTATGTATCCTCAATCCTCTGCAATGTTCCCTCCCTTCATTAACTGGCTTTCTCTCTCATTGTTATCATAAGACAACATTCACTGAATGTCCACAGCTTTTAGCACTTTATAATGCTCTATTTATACTTAAAAAAATAAAGTGACTGAGTATGAAAAAGGAAAATATAAATATTAGTCTCTTTTAAAAGGACTCCCTATAAGAGAGGAGTTTAATGCCTGGGAAATAGACTCTGGAAAATATTTTCTTTCACTTTTTATTAAGTATCTACTGTGCTTTTTTGTTTGTTTTTATAAAACAGCTGAAATAGAACTACTTCAGTGGTGTATGCTATTTAAATCAACTTGCTGCCTGAATTACTGTGTGGGCTTGGGAAAATGATACTAGTAAAACAATATCTACATCTCACTGTAGCTTTATCTTAATTTATACAGGAAGCACACTCTGAAGTCCTTACATTAAATCTTAGTTCGGTAACACTTTCATCTTGAAAAAGCTGGTTGGTTTGAATAGGAATTGGGCCTGTTGAAATAACATTTCAGTTACAGAGAACCCCAGTGAGGACCAAAATATAGGCTTCAACTGCCCCCTGGTGGCTAATAAGCAAAACAACCAAATATAATTTGAAGTCTGGAATAAACAGGTACATGACAAGTTTCTCTCTCCATTGCATTTATTCACTCAAAAGAATTTATTAAGCATTTACTCTGTTAAGCACTGAGGATCAAGAGACAAATGGTATACAGCCTTCATCACAGAGGAGTTAGTAATAAAGAGGGTAAAAATGACTACAGATAATTTCAATCCTCCCTGGTAAGTGCTGTTACAGTGATATTCATTCTATTCCAATCAAATTATGTTGGTTATCTCTTATCTTTGTAGGTATCCTCATATTAACTAATATTATATAGGAATTTCATAAAAATAAAAGCAGCTATTTTCCACAGTGTAATTCATATCTCTATGTAAATCTAGAAAACACATAATTACGTTTCTAGAGTTCTTCCTAGGAGTAACATGAATCTGTACTGCTTTTTTATGGTTATGCTGTTAATAGTATTTAGTTTTAAAATTATTTTAATTCTTGTTACAGCATTTTCAGATCTATTATGCAGATGAAGAAACAGAGGCAGAAGTCAATCTTACCTGGTAATTCAAATTGTCTGATTGCACCTGAGTTTTCTTGATAGATTCATCCCATGACTTTTGTGCAGTTTATGATGAGGGGTTTTATGAAGTCACTGAGTAACATGAGGTAGCCATTTCCAAAAAGGGTTAACATACACACACACATTGGATCATTTCCAACATCAGCTACTGAGCAGCTGCCACAATTCTCTTGAATTGGATAGACTTTTATCAAGTTATGAAAGGTCCCATATCCAATTACCAATTCCCAGCATTGCCCAGGCCCTGGCTTGGCACTTCTCAACCAAATGATACACTTGTGATGCCAAAGCAAAGAGATAACATAAATAATTTAGTTGGGTTGTCTTTAATTCTATACAAGAGAAGTTTATAGTAACCTTAATTAGTATTTTACTCACCCAGTGCAGTCATGTAGCAGGACTCTATTGAATTTCTGACATTGAGCATGAATGAGTTAAGACTTTTAAAGAAATTCTTAATTTACATAAATCAATGACATGAGTCAAAATGTTTACAAAATTGGTTTATTTGAAAGATATCGATGGTTCTAAATGCAAGCTACCTGACATTTCTAAGATGTTAAAGGAACCAGACGTGGTGGGAATACATGTGGGGAGTTCTCAGCACTATCATTTTAAAGTGATGCTCTTCAGTACTTTCAATTGCTATGGAGTATTTTCAACTTAACTAATTTTTGCTCTAAACTATTTTCATAAGTTTCATTCTCTATTTTCTTTTATAGTATGTCCATGAGCAATTTGTTTTGCTTTATATATATATATATACAGTATTATGAAATAAGAATTGTCCATTATCAGAAAGATTTCTGTGTCATTTAAGATTGTTTCCTTTTTGATAATGAGTAGAATGATGAATATAACTATCATTAGTTTAGATCAGTCTTTTTAAGAGATGAAATGAAACAAAGAACTATTTTGGATACATCTTGTAACTGTGTCTCTCGGGTCAAATCTTAGCATAATTGAGTCCAGCTGGTTCAAAGACAACACTTAAAATGTAAATTCATCAGAACAAAATTGTATCTCTGGAAAAGTGAACCAAAAAATAACTTTAAGCCTTTCCTCAACTACTCAATTGTATTATTAACCTTTTATTTTTCCGTAATACTCACTCATTAGTTCATTCATTTATTCCTTCCCTTATCCCTTCTTCCACAATCATACAAAGTCAAAAAAGTCTTGTTTCCTCCCCTCCAGATGTATGCAAAAGTTCAAGAACCAGTGTTGAAATTATGCAGAAATTTCTTACAGAAAAAGGGATGAGGAATTCAAACCAGACAAAGGGATGTCAGAATGTTTCAGCAACAACTCAAGGTAAATAGAATCATTTAAGTAGAAGGGCTTTCTAGGTTGATGGATTTTCAAAGGTATTAAGGGATGAATCAACTTGATATTTTTGGGAACTACTTAGAATAACCAGAAATAAGTAAATGTCAGATCAGGAAGGGCCCAGGTGCTAATGGCTGAGCTTCAATTTTACCCTGAAAACTAGGAAAAGTCATTGAGAAACTTAAGATAGGGAAATAAAATGACCAGACTTGAATTTTAGAAAGGTCACTTAGACAACACATGGGACAAATTGGAGGAGGCATGAAACTAGAGCAAGGAAATATTAGAAGCCTGCTGCAATAATCTGGGGTTTAAACTAAGGCAGCTGAGGGCAGGAGTGGACAATTTACAGCCCTGCTACACTCAGTGGTCCTCCATCAGCAGCATAAGCATTGACTGGGAACTAGTCAGAAATGATCCTGTGCTACACTCTCTTCTTAATCAGTATTTTAACAAGCTCCTTGGGTAATCTGTGTCTGGGAGGTACCACGTGGAGGTAAGAAATACAGTAGGGGCAGTTACTGAAGGAAAAAAAAAGTCACAGTCTTAAATGTGGTTAGTTTGAGGTGTTTATGAAACATCAAGGAAGATGATCCATAGCAGTTGGGTTCATGGGTCAGGAAGCTGGGTTGAAATTTAGTTTGGAGAAGCAATTTACCATTTACCAACCTTTGAGTATTTGAAGCCATGGTCTGAGTCAAGTTTGCTGGGATTTGCCCAGAAAAAGTATTCATTAGTCAGGCAGAGGGCCCGTAACACCATAATTTAAAGTTCCATACAGCAAAAAATATCCACAAGAAACAGAAGGAATTTCCGGTGGCAGGAATAAACAATGTGAGGAGTGGGAAGAAAGTTCCAAGTCCATTTTCCAGCGGAGGTCACATAAGAATAGACAAGAGTCCATTGGAATTAGCAATCCTGTTGTCAGAGTAAAGCTATGGGTTGAGATTATTTCCCATTCCTTCTTGACTTTAGTATGTGGGGATGCAATTTAGAGTTTCTGCTCTCAAGGTTCAGATGAGTAGAATACGTGAGAGGAGCGTGGTATGGAGCCAGTTTGCAAATGTTCTCTCTTCCAATAGGATGGTAAATTCTTTCAGCAAGGAAGGAAGGCACAAGAAGATGAGTAAGACCCAGTCCTAACCTTCATCATTTATAGGACGACATCTGTAGTACAAGATGGGACATGTATTATAAAATCCCATAGGGATTCAAAAAAAGAATAACCACATCCAGCTAGAAGAGGCTGCTTACTTCTCAGGTGTTAGCACAGAGATCTACATATACTTAACACTTAACTATATTAACTCTCAGTTTTTCTCTCAATAGATCTGGCGAGTCACTAGTAAAGTCCCATTTATTCCAAACCCAAGGAAACTTCAAACTCATTCATGAGATATTTATTAAAATAACACATTTAGGGAAAAAAATCAATACAATGTATACATCATTACTGAAAACTGTATACCATCATACAAAAAAGGATTTTGTTTTGGGAAACTGAATCCTAATTTATGGCAAGTTTTACTTTCAGAAAAAAAATCACAAAACAACACAATCTAATTCAATCTTAAAGGCTGGCATGCTGAGCAAGGAATGTTCTTATTCTTTGTAGGAGCTCCTTCTTTACACTGTCAGGTACCAGGGCTGAAATATAAAAATATAAAAGTAAGAAGATTCCAATTAATATGTATCAGTTTGATCTTTTTTCAGGGTTACCAGTAAAATAATTTCATAAATAACCTTTAGGCTTCAAAAAGAAAATCAGTAAAAATATCTGCAACTTCATGATTTGAAAGAACTATCTTGTACCTAAATACATTGCAAATTGATGACAAAATATGCAAAAATTCTTTAAACTAGAAATGGAAAAGGATTCTTTTAAACAGAAACTCTAACAGATTGATAAATTTAATTTAAATGCAACAACAACCTAATAAGTTTGGTCATAATCACAATAAACAAAGACAGAAGACAAAAACTGGGAGAACACTCTTCCAGAAACAGGCTCATTTCTCTACTGTACAATTTTTTCAAATTTGTAAGAAAAAAAGATCAGCAGGCTAATTAGGAAAAATGAGTAAAGGGGATGAAGAAAATGAGAAACACATAGTCCTTGAATGTCAGAGGAGTTTAACCTCACAACAGATGTGGAAATTAAAAGTACATTCAGACAGCATGTTTTACCAATCAGATGAGCTAAAATCCAGAGGTCAGAAATATACCGTGTTGGCAATGCTGAGGGAAAACTGACACTCATAAGCTGATGGGAGTGTAAATCAGTACATTTTTGGGAAAGCAACTGGGCGATACTGTATCAAAAGAAATACACATACTCTTGACTCATCAAAAATGCAAAACTGCAATAGTAGTTATATTTTTGAATATATTTTGTTTTTTTGAATTTTGAACCATGTAACTGTATTATCTATTCAGAGCACTAAACATATGGGGGGGGGGGAAAGCCCTGTTCTTCATAATTTTAATATTAAGTATGAATTTTAAAAAATCCTGCACTATTGTTTTTCCTGTCTTGGCTACTAATAAATAAGGACAATAAGGAATTAACTAAAATTCTAATGTTACTTGCTTGTATCCAGAAAAAATGAAAAATTTCAGATATAGCTTAGTACTTCTGTAAAGAATTATACAAGTACACAAATTAGGCAGATATTCCTCTTTATAAATTAAGTTTAAGTCTGCCTAGAAATACAGAATAATTAATTCAAGTCCACTGGAAATATGATCAGTATATACATCAAACATACTTTTAGTCAAAATTATGGTGGTGGAGACCAGATCAGATGCTTTGGGGTTAGGGATTGGGTGTGAGTATAAAGGGATAACCTGAGGGAGTCTTTGAGGGTTGAGATTACAGGAATCTATACATGTGTATAAGGTTCATAGAACCGCACACTAGAAAAAGTCAATTTTGCTGTATGTTTATTTTTAAAAAGAAAATAGTCTGACACTAAAAAAAAAAGACTAAACATAAAAGAAAATATTTGTTTTTACTTCTTATTTGCTCATTTTCTAGCAGCTGAGCTACATGGGACTGAAATGTCCAAGATACAAGTGCTGAAGAAGCAAAAGACAATTTCTACTTTATAACCAGTTCCTAAACGTTAACAGACTAAGCATAAATTAAAGAAGAACATGAAAAGATGTCAGAGAAAATTATTTTAAAATATAACTTAAGGGACGGGAGACAATAAGTACTGCTGTTTTATTTTTCCTTTTCCCGAGACAAGCCTGATGCTCAAGTCATGTTTTTTAGCTTTAACGAGACCTAAAGAAATGGCTGGAAAGAACCATGGGATTCTATAGCTCCTTCACAGAAGGTAACAGTTCTAGGAATTAGTATTTACTAGTAATAATTTTCAAATTTATTTTTTACACTTAAATTTTTATTTTTGTATGTGAAAACAACAAATGGACATCTAATTTATAGATGCATCCACTATTAATAACTATAAAAAAACTTTCTCAAAATAAATGAAAATAACGCAGCTATATCTGAGGTAACAATATAGTTATTCACTTATTATTTATTAAACATCCTCATCATTAACATACTTCCTCTCTTTACTTTGCCTTCTGTAAATAAGGCATTATAGTGGGAGAAATGAAGAAAGTAGTTGTAGCATGATTCTTAAATATAGATTACTCTGAACATGAACTTACAAAGTTACCAAATTCTTAATTAGACATTTAAGAAGACAGCTTTCTTTATTTTTAATAAGGAAAGATATAGTAGAGCAATGACTCAGAGGCTGGAGTAAAACTCTGAATTATTAAATATTTAAATGGAGTCAGGCCATATCTCATAGTTTACATATCCAGCTTCAGGCAATGTTTGCCTCTATAAAATCCTATTATTTTAAAAATTATCTCCATTAACAACTGTATCAACTTACATTTGTACACTGTTTTAGAGTGCAGAAACATTCCACGTGTCTGACCTCATTTATTACTCAAGACCATGCTAGAGCCGCTACAAGGAAACCCAAGTACCCAAATAATTTTGGAAAGGGTGCTTTGCTTTGTAAAAAGCGAAAAGCTGAACCAGAAAAAGAGAAAAAAAATCATGTCTAGCACGTTTCCTTTCACACAATCCTTATTCCTTACCTCTGCCTTTTGGTGTGATTTCAGCCACCAAGTCATCAACAGTAACATGTTCTAGTCCTTTTTCTTTAATTACCTCTTATGCAAAAGCAAAAAACAAATCATATCATTTAAAATCATTATCTGTAAGAAAGATTTTCATAGAGGAAGGGTTAAGATCATGTTTTCAGAGTGCAAACTGGTCTTTTAAAAAAAAGAGGATACTTTTTTCTTTTTTAATGAAGATTTAGTTCAACCTCAAACATATTAAGTATTCATGAGATCAAAATCATAAAAGCCTGTCCATCTCTCAGCTAATTCACCTGTAAATTAAAAAGTATTATAATACTCAGAATGAATCTGAACTGTAAGGCCAAATCTGACATTTGTAAAAAGCTTTTAACTGTACAGATTTTCTTTCTCTATAATCATACCAGATCTTCAATGTATGGAGGGGGAAAAAGCTATTATTTGAGTCTAATTTGTAATTTCATAGCCCCAGATTAAAATGTAGAACGATTCCTTTGCTCCTTTCTCTTCTCTAATCTGGGCCAAAAGAGAAGAAGGAAAGTAGTTAACATTTACTGGGCATTTTTATGTGCTGGGTGCTTTATGTCATTTAATACTCACAATAATCTAGTGGGCTGGCATTTTTCCCACTTTACAGATGAGCCAACTAAGGTGATTAAATAACCTCAGACATGAATTGAAATCCAGCTCTATCTTTTATCAGTGAAGGTCTGTACCTCAAAGTCTATGCTTTTACCAGTTTGCCACAATGCCTTCTGAGGTTAATGATATGAATAGTCTCTATTATTATTATTATTTGTAGAAACCATTATAATACAATGGAAATTCATAAAAATATCCAGAAATCCATCATACCAAAAGCTGAGCCAGAAAGTAAGCAGACTTGTAGTAGTGACGTGTAATCTATCTAGTGGTAACAGCAATTACCCAGCAATTTAACAAGCTTCCATTCTCCATTTTAAAAAAGAGCTCTCTAAAAGCTTTTATGGATAAATTTTTAAAAAGTGACAGTGTTACAAACAGAAGATATAATTCCTATAATTCTGTCAATTAGGAAGTACTCAATTTGTTATTAGCTAAACCACAGTGGAATAACCATTGTTTCAGTTGAGTAAACATACTGAAGAAGTTGAGATTCTATTTTGATGCCAGAGAAAATCTTGCCTCGCTTGTCTTAAGAGAAACAGTTTCTAAAAATTTAGGAATATGTCTATATATTATCACTGGGAGGAGGACATCATTATTACAAGATTCAATTTTCTATTTGTTTAAAATTATGCTCAAGCACTCAATATACGTAAAGATACTGGCAATTTCTCTAGTGAACCCCAAACCAAGACAACTGAGAGCAATGCAATTAGCTTATTTTTAAAAGAAACTCATTACCTTTACAGTGTGCCTTCAATTGATCCTTCCAGCCACATTCAATTAATTTAGCTCTCAGCAACTCTTTGAGGCTGTTGAAAAAGAAATGTTTACAAATTAAACTTACAGTGTACAGTATCTTAGATAAGAATGTTTCAAGCAAAGGTTCAGCTGTTCAGTTAAAAACTCCCTGCCTTCCGGTCACAAAACTTGAATTTGACCACAGCCTAATTTTTATTCTATCACTAAAGAGTTCTTTGATCTTATGAAAGTCACTTAAACACTGGGTCTCATTTTCATTATCAATAAAATTAAATAAAGTGAATGGGGGTACATCTCAAAAAAACTCCACTCTCTGGCCATCGTATACACTTTTTACTTTCCTCCACCAACAGAAATATTGTGGGTCTTGTAAAAATTCTGGATTGTTGAGCTTGTAACAGCCTCCTCAAAAATCTTCAAACTCCAAAACCCACTCTTCAACTACAAATCTTATCCTTTAGCTCTCTTACTTCCCCATTAGATCTCTCTCTCTAACCTCAAAGACCTTCCCCACACTTTTTCCCATGAATCTTCTAAATTATACATTAACTATGGTATTTCACTGATTCTAAGACTGTTTTTTCCACATTTTAACAAGTCAGTAATTGGCATGCCTTTTATAATTTAACTGGCAGTATTTTCTTGTTTGTTACTGATAAAAAAAAATTCTGGTCTATCTTACAACTATGGCATCATGAATGTAATAAACCAAAATATTTTCTTATCAATACCTTTTTATCATTTTCCCACACACATTCTTACAAATCCTTAATCCTCAACCTAAATTATCTAATTTCTCAACTTGAAAATGTCACATCCCAAACCAGGCAACTTCTCTTTCAGAATTCCTAGTTGTCCTCTGCATGACATTTCCATCTTGATAATTAATTAGGTCTTTTCATCTTGATAGGGCCAAAATCTAACTCCTGCTTTTTTCCCACCTCAACTTGTTCTCTTCATCAGAATGCCATTCTCCATTCTGGTTTCTCAGGCTAGAAACCTGGGCAGCGTCCTTCACTCAGCAACTTTGTTAACATTACACACTGAATCCATAGAAGCAAATCCTACTGGTTCCAGTTTTAAAATATATACCTACAATCCAAATGTTTTTCATCATTTTTACCACTGATCCCCTGGTTCAAGCCACCATCCTCTCTTGGCCAGACTGTTACCAAAGCATCCTAACTTGTCCCTCTTTTTCCTCCCTGTACACTTTTATTCTCCTTCCACTGCTCAAAATCTCCCAGAGCTATCGAATTTACTAAGAATAAAATTCCAAGTCTTTACTATAGCCTGAACAGCCCTCCGTGACCTGCCTCTCCCCAACAATGCTCTTTCTTTTCTTCCCACTTACTCAATTTACTCAGGCTTGTGAGCTTCCATGTGTTCCTCAAAACGCCAAGCAAGCTCCTGTCTCAGGACCTTGGTTCTTGGGAGTCCCCTACTCCCTCATATTCTTCAGATCTTGTATCAGTAAAGCTTCCTTGTTTTTTTTTCCTATCCAAAATAGCACACCCATTACTCTCTGCTTTATTTTTCCTCTAGAACTTATCAACATCTGACACATTAATGACACACTTATGTCTGTCTCCTATTAGAAGTAAGTCCCATAAAAGAACGGACTTCATTTTGTGCAAAATGTATTTCCAGCACCTTAACAGGACAGGGCCGTATGGTAAAAATTCAGTAACTTCAAGCCTCATGAATGAAAAAACAAATTTAAACAGTAACACATAATTCCCTATACTCATTACTGGCAATACTATCTTCTCAGTTCCCCAAGGCATTGTTCTAGATGCCTTCCTCTTCCTCATTCCTTGTATCAAGGGCTGCTGATTTCACTTTTTAAAAATCTCTTAAGATCTCCTTTCCATTTTTGCTGTTTGTTCATTTTTAACCTGATGATATTCTACTAACACATTCTTCTGCAATCTATCTCCAGCCCTTCAGTTCCTAATGTGCAAATGTGATGTAGTCACTACCATTCTTAAAACCTTTTTACGATTCCCACTACCCAAGTATAGTCAACAATAGATATTTTTGCAAAGCCACTACACATTTTCCTGTCTTTGACAGAAAAAAAACACTCCACCACTCATTGTAAAAAATCTGGTAGGGTCCTAGCAATGGAAATGGGACCTAGGCAAAGCTATTCGTAATTGGCCTATTACCTAAGTGAGGTGCTAATCAAGACAGGTCCTTTGCTGAAACTACTAGGAGGAAGTGGTCTGAGCCACAGGGATGTAAATTTCGAATTACTAATCTCTGTTACTTTGTGTGTAGAGCTTGCTTGATAATAAAGCCAACACAGAGGAAAACAGAGCTGAGATGAAAAGGACATTTTCTTGGCAACAATTTTTTGACTGCCTGGACACAGCCATTCCTGAAGCAACTTCAATTTCTAGACTTCTAATTAGATGAGCTTCTACTTCCATTGGGTAAGCCAGTTTCTGAGCTGTTTCTATCACTTTGACTGAAAAAATTATTTTTCCCCCTATGGTAGTTCTACTTTTAATTTTTTGAGGAATATCCATACTGTTTTCTGTAGTGGCTATACCACTTACATTCCTACCAACAGTGTGCAGGGGTTTTCTTCACATCTTTGCCAACATTTCTTTCTTTTGACTGAAAGAATTCTGACTTACACAAAAGCCATACTCCACCTATTATTCCAGCCACACAGTTTTCATACTTTACCCACTAGCTTTTATTTTGCAGTTCCACAGGATATTGTCATATAACAAATCTCTGTGACTTTGCACATTATGTTAATTGCCTAGATTGTCTTCTATTCTTTATTTAAAGGCTGAGAACCGCTAGTACTTCTCCCTGAGGTAAAAAAGTACCTCTTTTACCATTTTGTGAGACCTTAATCCTCAGGTAGAGGTGAAAGATCCCTCCTGTTACTTATATTTCTGCTATACAATTTATCATACTGCTTCTGGAAGCCTTCCTTGATTCCTTAGCCTCTCCTTTGTACTTCGAAACCTATTCATTCTTCAAATACTTCCTTGCCCAGTTGTATGCTAGGCATGATGCTGGGTATACAATGGTATTTCTATGATCAAGAACTTAGATTATGGTAGAGGCACAAACTAGCAAAGTAGGTGGCTACAATATAATGTGATTAAATGTTATAACAGAACAAAGTATTTGGGATTTAATAGATTCCTAGAAGAGATATTTAAATTAAGACCTGAAAGATGAGCTAAAATTAAAGATGAGGGGAAAGAAGAAAATGCCAGCGAGTAGGAACAGCACATGCTGCTCTGAGGTTGAGAGCCTGGAAACTGAACCTGGTTCTATCATATTGTCTCCCCATTACAAATGGAGTAACAATATGCCTTCAATTGTAGTTATTAGGGTATGCATTTTTCTTTTCCATTAGATTATACATTCTTTGAGAGAGTCATTTCTTGTTCATGGTTCTACATCACCCACTTCCCTCCAAGTATTGCAATATTGAACATATCTGTTTTTTATACATGTTAGGAACTGAAGCTTTGGTAATTTCAGTTTTCTGTAATTCTTTTCATTGACACTGGTATTTAGATTCTTATATATAATTAAGTAAAATTTAAAGATTTTAAGGGTAATTTATTGACACAGTCTATTACTTACCGTTCTCTTTCTCCAGTTTCTATCAACTTTTGGTTAATCGCTGCTCTCATCTGCGCATCTTTGTTCATCTTGCTAACCTGAACATCAATATGTATTTTCAGATACAGAACACTTACAAAGCATTCTTTTCTAAATCCTCTAGGCAAGCATCCCGACATGTTTAAAAACATTCTATCAATCGAAGGGGTGATGAATTTCAACAATGTGGTAACAATGTCATTATTCTTAACATTATTTACTGTATCCCAAGAAACAGCTTTACAATTTTCTTACCCTTTATAAATAAGTCTTTGTACAATGATTATTGCAACACATAAAACACTTGTGTGCCTGGTACTGGGCTAACACAATGGTTTTTTTTATCTCATTTAATTCCCAGAACTTATTCTTTTATTCAAGCATTATTCACATAATTTGTATTTTACAGATGAGGAAACTGAGGCACTGATATATGAAGTGGTAAAGGCATAATTTGAACTCAGGTACTCTGATCTCAGAAGCTGCAAAACACTTTAAAAGCTCATCAGAACTGACTGCTAATCATTTCTGCATCTAAAATTTTGGGGAAGCCATGTAACCGAAGTATCAGTAAAAGACTAAGCAATGTTGGTGAAAAATGAAATTTCCAGGTAAGGCTCTAAGTGCTTTACTGCATACAGAATTACAACTGCCAAACTAGCTGTAAGAGAGAGGGTGAGAGTGCGAGTGCGAGAGAGGGAGAGAGAGTGAGTGTGTGAGTGAGAAAAAGAGAGAGAGAGAGAGTGTGTGTGTGTGTGTCACGCCCACGCGGAGCTATACCAAGGCTTGCTGGTGGGATAAGGAAAAAACAAACCTCAAACGAATTCCTAAATTAGAAAATGCTCAATAAAAACAGACACCCAAAACCAAAATGGTATGGAAAGGAGAGGAAAGTTAGGTTGTAAAACTTTTAAATTACTGCACCTAATCTGTCACTACTTTGAGACTACTTTTGTCTCTCATCTCGCCTGTATGAAATGTCAGACTGGCAATGAGTTTTGAAGTTTACTTTTCTTCTTTGGAGTGGAACACGAAAAAGGAGGGGTTGAGAAAGATCTAGGAAATGTTTGCTTTTGTACTTGGAGATTAACATTTTCAAAATAATTCTAAGGTGTAGTCAGTACGATGCCAAGAATATTGAACTTGATCTCGCCTTGGCCCCTAAAATACGGATAGTGACCTTGGACAAGTCAATTCTTAGAGGCCTCAGTTTTCTCACTGGTAAAACAAGAGCGCTAGGGGATCCCTCCCAGTTCCGACATTCTTTGGGAAAGAGAATAGGGCGGAGACAGAGGAAGAGGCGGGAGAGGAGGAGCCAGAAAACAAAGCGAGGACTGGCTTCAGGCCAACTCCAGTGCGCCCTGTCGGAGAGCCCTACAGGCCCGCGAGCGGGTCGGGGAAGCTAACGAAAGACAGCACATCGAAAGGAGCCTGGGCTGGGCCCGGGTCCCGGCCCTGAGGACCACGGGCATAGCTCACCACCATCACCGCGGGCGAGGGCCGTCCCTTCCCAGCGACGAAATGACCCTTGCGCTGACGACCGTTACCTACCACACTCTTCGGCTGCCCAGACTTAGACCCTCAGTAGCTCGGGCACCTAGCGCACAGAAAGCTAGCATACGTATTTCCGGGGCGGGGCCTCGCACCCCGCCTATAGTGTGAGAATTTAACCAGCGCGGGCCGCCTCCTGGCCGCTCAGCCCTCTGGGTAAGAGAGTCCAGCACCCTAGGGTCGCGTGGGCGTTAAGTACCCCAGAAAACTACACAGCGCAGCATGCAACAGCCAGTCTTCCGGGGGACACTACAGCTCCCAGAAGGCACTCCGCACCGCAATGTTTTCTGGGATGGGAACCACTCCGCCTCACCGCCCCTGTGCTCCGAGGGCAGCGCGGACCTTTCAACGAGGGCTCTGTTGATTCTCACGCTACGACCCTGGAAGGCGATGGAGGTGGCCGCTAATTGCTCCCTGCGGGTGAAGAGACCTCTGTTGGATCCCCGCTTCGAGGGTTACAAGCTCTCCCTCGAGCCGCTGCCCTGTTACCAGCTGGAGCTTGACGCAGGTGGGAAGCGACGGCGCTCCCTTGCACTCTTGTTTTCTCCCTCCATCTGCCTTCGGGGCGACCTGTCCCTCATTTTCTTACGTTCTTCCGCGAGCAAGGCGACTGAGGCCTTCCCGCGGCCCGTTGGGCTGGGTTGGACCCAGGGTGGCCGCTTCTGGAGAAGGAAGCCCATCCCGGAACCCCGTGGGAGCCGCCTTCCCGCGGCTTTTCCGTAGCGGGATCCTGGGACCAGCCCTCGGCCCGGCCACCCGACTCCACCGTCCCCCAGGTATTGCCAGGGCTCTGGCCGCCGGTGGGTCTCTGGCCTGCTTCTGGCTGCGGAGTAAGCCCAGGACTTGGGTACCTACTGGAGAATCCTTGTAAACGTGCGCTTTGAAAAGCCACACCTCCTTGGAGGACTCCAGCTCCTGCTTCCTCTGGCCGAAACCCATTTCTTCGAAGAAAAACTCCCAGGCAGTTCAGAGCATTTTAAATTACGTAGGTGCTGTCTAAGGATGCTCTCGTAGAGAACATCTCTGGAAAATCATGAGGGAAAGTTGATTTAGTATTCACACTAATACTGCTTGTTTTGTTTATCTGTACCTGGCCATAATAGTCATCCTTATTTTTACATAGTAAAAAATGGCATTTCGTTAATGATAAAAGCCCAGAGATTTGCATTTTTTATAAACATCCCTGCTGATTATGATGCATGTTTTCAGTGGATCACGCTTTGAGAAATACTGACCTAGATAGTTAAAAGATTTTATAGTATCAAGTGTTTACTAATTTTTTTTTAAAATTAAAAAACCTCTATCGACAGCCTGTTTTCTGTTCCATCCTGATAATATCAAGGTGAATAAAACACAGGTCGGTAACATAAAGGTGCAATTGTCTAGCTGGGAAGAAAAGTGTAAACAAATAGTTATAAAACAATGTGGTAAGGCAGTGATTGGGGTAGGTACAAAGCGTAATGGTATTACTTAAGTATCTTTCCAAACCTGTCTGGGGGATCTGGGAAAGCTACCTAGAGGAGTAGATATCTATATTGAGCTTTGAAGGATAGGTAACAGCTCAGGATAAGATAAAATGAGCTTGGTTTTTCTTTTCACTCCCTGCATTTCCCTTTTCCACCCCATGTCAGTAAGTGGTATCTCCATGTTTAGTTAGTGTATGCGTTGAAAAACCACCCCAAAACTCAATGGCTCAATACAGTGAGTGGTTACTGTTGCTCACAAATGTATCGGTCACGTAGGTGGCTCTTCTAGTGGTGGCTTGGGCTCATTTGTGCATCTTTGTTCACTTATGGATCTGCTAGGTGCCTGTGCTCATCTTGGCTGTACTTTCTCATAAGTTTGGGGGTCCTCTGGCTGTAGACTCTTTTAATATTACTTTAAATGGTCTCTGCTTAGCTGTCCTCCATGTGATTTCTCATTTTTCAGCAGCCTAGCCCAGGCTTATTTGAAGAGAACAGTAGCAGTGCACTAGCACCTTTTCAAGCTACTGCTTAGAGTAAGTTTGCCCACTGGCCAAAGCAAGCTGTGTATTCAAGCCTAGAGTCAGTATAGCAATCTCATGCCAAAGGGCATAGATCCAGGGAGGCGTAAAGAATTAGGACTATTAGTGCAGGTCTTTATTGTTGATTATGCTGGAATGCCGGAGTATTTCTTCTTTTAGTGCCTCTATTCAGTCTGTCAGCTAAACCAACCCATTCAAGTTGACTTCTCCATGCTGTCACCCTGGTCTAAAAAAACAGTTACCTTTTACCTGAACTGTAGCTTCCTATCTACCCTTTCTTCTTTCCCTTTGGACTCCTTCATTCCATTTTCCGTAAGGCAGTACTGCCATAGTTTTTAATTCTGTGTTTATTTGATATCTTTTTCCTCCACTAGACTGTGAGCTCCATAAACACAGTAATGTTTCTCTTTTGCTCACTACTCTATCCCTAGTGCTTATATTAGGTACTCAAACTGAGTGGATGAAGAAGGGCAGGAGGCATTGTTGAGGTCATTCCATTCATGGGAAAGCATACGCAAAGGCAAAGAATTAGTAGGTTGTATGCAGGCCACTGTTTGCAGTCCTGTACTGCTGGAGCAGAAAATCTCCCCAGAAAGTGAGAGAGGACTTAGAAAGGTAGGTGAGGGCACTATTTGTCCTTTGGACTTTATCCTGTCAGTTAAAGTCTTTGTATATGTTGCCCCCTGTATTTCACCCAGCTATCTAATACTCCATTCTTTCTTCTTAGTTTACATGTTAGTTACCCAGAATTCTTTTCTTAACTATTTAGTTAGGATCTATACTATAGAATCTGTGCAAATTAGAATATATACTATACTTTTCCACAGTACCTGGTATTTCATGGACTTTTATCACACTTTGCAGCATTCAGTGTCTTCTTTGCTCACACTGTTAGTTCTGTATTGATGGGTCCTGGGTCCATCTTTGTCAGTGCTTTATCTCTAGGGTGGAGCATGCCTGGTGAATGATAATAATTTTACATTACCCACATGCATTAAATAGCTTTATTGAGATCTAAATGACAGTAAGCTGCATGTTTAAGTGTATAGCTTTACAAGTCTTGATGTACATTTGCACTCATGAATCAAGAAATTACAGTTAGCTATCATCCCCAGAAGTTCCTGTCCCATTTTGTAACCAGCCCTCTATTCCTCCCTATACTCCCTTCAATCCTTAAGCAACTTCTGATGAGCTTGCTGTCATATAGATTAGTTTGCATTTTCCAGAGTTTTGTGTAAATGGAATTGTACAGTATGTACTCTTTTCTGGCTTCTACTCAGCGTAATTACTTTGAGTTTGTCCTTGTTGCATGAGAGAGGAATATTGAAATCTGTCTATAATTGTGGATTTTTTTTATTTTTCCTTGCAGTTCTATCAGTTTTTGCTTCATATATTTTGAAAGTGTTGCATGAGCATTATTATTATTTACTATGTACTCTTGATCAGTTGACTCCATTATCATTTTGAAGTAATCTTTATTCTTAGTGATATTTTTGGCTCTAAAATCTGAGATTAAAATAGTCTAGCATTCTTTTTATTAACATTAACAGTGTGTGTGTGTGTGTTGTATGTTTCTATCCTTTTACTTTTAACCCCTTTGTGCCTTAGTAGCTACATGTGTTTCTTATTGGCAGAAACAGTTGGGCCTTGCTTTTTTGTTCAATCTAACAATGGCTATCTTTTAATTAGACTGTTTACACTTAATGTGCTTATTATTATTGTTTGATTTTTGTTTGATCTTTCATATTGCTATTGCTATGCTGTTTGTTCCATTTGGTCTTTGGGAAAATGGTATTTTCCCACTTTTCTGACTTCTGTGTTTTTTTATTGCATTTTTATCACATTTGTTGGCTAATTAGCTATAGCTTTTTGTTATTTTAGAAGTTGCTTTAGGGTGTATAGTATACATCTTTAACTTATTACATGATACGTTCAAATGGTGTCACACTACTTTACATGTAGTAAAGACCTTTACAATAGTGTATTTCCATTTCTTTCCTCCTTTTATTATTTTTGCTATGCATTTTGCTTTTACATATTTTTGTATACTCATGATACATTGTTACTATTTTTGTTTAAATTTAAATAACTATCTTTTAAAGGGATTTAAATGATAAGCAAAAAAATCTTACATATTTACTCCTACAGTTGCATTTCTGGTGCTCTTCATTCCTTTATGTAGATGCATATTTTTATTGTGTAATTTACCTTCTGTCTGAAGGACTGTCAATATTTCCTGTAGTGTGGGTCTTCTGGTGATAAATCATTCAGCTTTTGTAGTCTAAAAACATTTTTATTTTGTCTTGGTTTCAAAGACATTTTTTACATGTATAGAATTCTAAGTTGCTGTTTTTTCTTTCAATCCTTTAAAGATGTTGCCCCATTGTCTTCTGACTTGTATTGTTTCTGATGAGAAATCTGATGTCTTATCTGTTCTTTTATATACATGTTGTTTTTCTCTAGCTGCCTTTAAGATTTTTCCTTTTTTTACACTGGTTTTGAGCAGTTCGACTGTTGTGCATTGGCGTGGTATCTCTCATGAGTCTTGTGCTTGGAGTTTGTTGATCTTCCTGTGGTGTGGTTTAGGCTTAGTTTGTCCATCTGTGGGCTTAATTGTTTTCATTAACTTTGGAAAGTTTCCAGCCATTATTTCTTCCAGTTCTTTTCCTCTCTTTTCTTCCTTTGAGGAACCCATTTGCCCATTTTTAGGCTGCTGGAAGTTGACCTTAGCTATTCAGTACTCTTTTCATTTTTTTCCCCCATTTTTTTCTTCAGTTTCATTTTGGATAATATTTATTTTCAATCCTTTAACCGTACTAATTTTTTTTTACAGTGTCTAATCTGTGATTAATTCCATACAGGATGTTTTTCATCTTAGACATTAAAGTTTTTATCTAGAAGTTTGATTTAAATTTTTACATCTTTCATGTCTGTTGTTTTGGACAGAGGGAATGTACTTTAATAAATTTCAATGATTTCTTCTGCTAATTATAACTTGTGTCAGTTATCTGCTGAGCTTCTGTTCATTAGTATTCTCTTCATTATGGGTTTCTTTCCTTTTAGCATGCCTGGTATTTGACTGGGTGGTAGAAATTGTGAATTTTATCTTGTTAGTTGCAGGATCTATTTGTATTCTGTAAATCTTCTGGAACTTTATTGTCGGGTACGTTTGACTTACTTGGTTAATTCCACTGGGTCTTGCTTTTATGATTTGTTAGGCTGTGTGCTGCAATGCTCATGTAGGGCTGATTATTTCCCACTCGTGAGAAAAGATGCTTCTGTGTATTCTTCTCATTATCCCATGAATTTGGAGTTTTCTCTATTCTGCCCAGTGGGAACAATCACAGCTCCAAGACTTGTGTGAGTCCCCAAAACTGTCCCCTCTAATCCTCCCAGTTGGTTCTTTCCCTGGCCTGGGGTGGTTTCCACAAACATATGCCATGTGTACTCTCCTGAGCATCTGAAAGAGATCCTGTGCAGCTCTCTCTGTTCTCTGTTTGTGTGCTTCTCTCTGTTCTGGTCCTGCTTGATGGAGTATAGCCGCCTTGGTTTCCCCAGACCTTCAACTTGGTGTCCTTAATTCAGGAAGTCTGTCAGGTTATACCTCACTTTACCCTTTTGTGCTGGGGTCTGGAAACTCGCTCAAGGAAATCCTCAGTTGTTTGCCATTTTAAAAGTCTTTTGTTGTCTCATGCCTAGTATCTTCAAAACTATTTCATGTAATTTTGTTTGCTTTATTTCATTTTATCTTAAACATAAATCTAGTCACTATTACTCCATTTTGGCTGCAAGCAAAAGTTGTTCAATATATTTTTTTAAGTGAAAAAATGATTTCTATAGAACAATAGAAACAAAATTCAAACAGGTTAATGAGGATACAGAGAAAATGAGAGTGTAGACTGCTTTTTAGAGAAGTTTGAGAAGTACAAGGCAGGAGAGAGCTCTGCTTTGAGTGCAGATAGGAAACCATTTTCATTTGTTTGTTTTCTGAGTGGGGAAGTTTTCAACATATTTAAATGGAAGAGAAGGAACAAGTAAAGAGGAGAAAGCTGCTGGAGGAAGGGCCTAGAAGAGGTAGGAGAGAATGGGATCATAAATGGTATCTCACCTGTGTGAGAACTAGCTTGGGAAGAGAGAAACAGGAAAATCAACAGGCATTCTTATGTGTCACATAGAGAATGCATGTTTTAAAGCTAAGCTTGTCAATACTTTATAAGACAAGTATTATTAGCCTTTATTACAGATGAGGATGGGGTAGAAAGGTTAGGTAACTTAACCAAGCTACTCATCAGTGTAATTGATCTCTGTGGTCTCTCTGGTCTGTTTCTTAAGGGAAGAGAATAAAAGCTGGTGAAGATTTAGTCTATCATTGGATTAAGGGTAGAGAAGAGCCTTGTGACCACTGTATTTATATAGGGTTTACTATAAAGTTTGTAACTGTTCCTATGGAGGAAAAATGGGAAAGAGAGGCAGGGGAGTATGTGAATGTGTGTGCAGAGGCATTGTCTAAAAAGTTGAGTGGGAGCAGTGCTCCTGATTCTAGCCTTGTCCTGTTTTATAAATCTTGCTTCAGAACTCAAATACAAGCTTTTACAGTAGTCCCTCCCTGTCTCTGGTTTGGCTTTCTGTAGTTTCTGTTACTCACTGTCAACCATGGTCCAGAAGCAGAGGATTCTCCTTCTTAGAATACATCAGAAGGTTAGTTAATAGCCCAATGCTACTTCACAGTGCCTCTGTTCCTCACCACACATCATGTCATCATGTAAGCATTTTATCATCTCCATCCTCACAAGAAGTGTGAGCACAATAGAATAAGATACTTTGAGAGAGAGACCACATTCACATAAATTTTATTATAGCATGTTGTTATAAATGTTCTATTTTATTATTATTCTTTATATCTTACTATGCCTAATTTACAAATTAAGCTTTATTACAAGTATGTGTATATAGGAAAAAGTATTTATAGGATTTGGCACTATCTGCAGTTTCAAGGGTCCACTGGGGGTCTTGAAACGTGTCTCCTGTGGATAAGGGAGATACTACCCTACTCTTATTTTTTTTACATCTTTATGTACAAATAAACTCAGTAACTAAACAAAAAGAAGACTTAACTCACTGGATATGATTAGAAGATAAATGGTTCAAGAAGCGACCTTTGTAAATTAATGTTTTAATGTTCTTTGTTTCTATCCCCCTTTTTAAAAAACTACTGTATTATGTAAGTTTTAAATTGAATCATATTAGTGTCAAAAGAGTTGAATGTTGGTGATGTCACATGGTTCATCATAATAGTATATTTTGAAAGGATGAGAAGCAATAATTGTAGCCATTGTTAGCGCCATTTATAGAGATCATGTTTGTTTTATTTATTGGTGTATGCCTAATGCCAAACAAGCACAGTGTCTGGCACATAGTAGACTTTCAATAAAAATGTGTGAATGAAACACTATAGGTTTTCAGGTTCCATGCATGTTTTGTAAGGAGTTTAGGTAAAGGTGGATGAGATTCTCTTCTTGTCAGTTCCTATGTTTTTTTTAAAGGACTAAAGCAAAGTTGTTTTATTTCTAATGCAAGATAATATTAAATAATAAAACACTTACTACTGACTTCTTAGCCCTGTATTAAAGAGATTCCTCTTTTTCAACCATTTCAAAGATCCCAGCAGAAATTTGAAACTACTGCTCTGCACCCCCTTTCTTAGGAGGGTTCTACAGAAGAGCTTTGCCAGTGGTTAAGCTTGTCACATTGTGACTGCTGCTTTTCTCCTGTAAGTTTGCCTCCCCTTTTATACTCAGATTGATTGACATGATAAATGCAGTAACAACCTTTCCTTTCTCATTTGCGGCCAGAGAGGCAGACTTTTTCTATGCACTAACAGCTTAAAATAACTGTGTAATATGCCTTTTGCTCATTTCTGTGTCCCAGTAACTTACATAAATTATCTTGTTGTAATGTAACCACCAAAGACTTAGATTACATCATGGTCTTCTTATAATGCTATTCCAGATCCGTATCTTAATAGATGAAGTGTTGTAATGAGGCAAAGACTAAGAAGCTCTGGCTTGTTCAGGATTGCTCTGGGATCTTTGGCACAAATTGGGAAAAAAATGTATTTGTCACGTTATTGTCTAATTTTCTGCTTTGGGCCACTATGTTACCATGTACCTTTCGTGCACTGTTGAGTTTCATCCACACAGTGGTGCTAAAAACCCAGAAATTGATTGTTTCCTTATAAAATAAACACTTCCTCAAATTATATAATAGCAATTTCCTCAACCTCTATCAAATTCATCATAAAGTTACAATGATTTTACCTTTGAAATGCCTTTATACTTTATCATCCTTTATACATGGATGACTGCAATAACTTCCTAATGGACCTTCCTGGATTTTAATCTGCTTTGCTCCAGTCTGTTTTCCATATTGTAGTTATAAATAATCTTTTATAAATTCAAATCTGAACTTTACTCTCCTGCTTAAAAACTTTTAAATGAATTCATGTTAAATTGAGTTTATCAACAAAGATAGATAAAACCAAAGCCTTTCATGACCCAACTCCTACCTCGCCCTCTGTCTTCATTCATCTGTAGCCTTTCCTTGCACAGATCTCCTTGATGTTTTCTATTTCAGTTTGGCCTTCTTTTAGTTCTTTGCATACAAGTTTTGTCCTCTTAATTTTTTGCCTGTTTTTTACTTATGCCTGTGAAAAGTAGGTGTGTGTATGGTGGGGTGGGGGGTATATTTCTTAACTCTACCTTATCCTTTGTAGTTTAGCACCAATTTTTGAAAGCTTCCATCTCCCCAGTAGATCAGCTCCCATTGTTATTCTCACTCTACCCAGTAATTTTTCTTCATTGCTTTTATTACAGTTTACTTACATATTTAGTTATGTGATTATTTGACTGATGTCTGTTTCACCACTGTATCTTAAGTGCTAAGCAGTTTTAAGAGAGTAGATTTTAAATTCTCATCACAAGAAGAAAACAGGTGCTAGATGTGTTAAGTAAACTTTTTGTGGTAATCATTTCACAATGTGTACATCAAGTCATTATGTTGTATACCTTAAACTTATGCAGTGTTATATGTCAACGATATCTCAATAAAGCTGGAAAAAAGTAAAATTAATTAGGGAAGCAACTAATGCCCTAGAGGAGAAAGTACAGTTCTTAAGTGGGAAACTTCATTTCTTCTCCAGATAGAATATTTTGTTCTGTATCCTTGGGATTTACATGGTATAATATTGGAGAAGTCACCACTTGTTGCCTGCATTTATTCCCATAATTTTATAATGAGATCATTAAAATATTTCTTAGAGTATGGTAAAAATGAATGATGTAATAGAGGTAAAACCATTTTTAAAAGTACCAAAACACATTATAAAATGGACTTGTTATTTACCCCCAAAACAGGAAATTCTTCAATTTTAGAATTTCTCTGTTCTTTTTATTCATAATTACAAGGCAGAGGTACCTAAAAAAGGATTATGGCATAAAAAGCCCTCTCTCCTATGTCCACTATGTCGTAAGGGCAGGAACCATGTTAGTTCTACTCATTTTTATCTGCACACAGTGCCTAGTAAATGCCCAGAAATTATTTTTGAATGAATAATACAGTGAATTTGTCCTGAAGGCCTTTCGTGATTAGCATTCTGTGATTCCATTGCCTTATAGGCATTCTGTAAAAAGGAACCATGTGAGGCAAAACTCTTCACATCTGTTTATTTTTCTTGCATTTCAGCTGTGGCAGAAGTAAGACTTGGAGATGACCAGTATACACTGGAACACATGCATGCTTTCGGAATGTATAATTACCTACACTGTGATTCATGGTATCAAGACAGTGTCTACTACATTGATAACCTTGGGAGAATTATGAATTTAACAGTGATGCTGGTAAGAAAAAACCTGTAATACTAGCATTTTCCAAAAATTTGATTTTTGATTCTGACTTTTAATGTAATGCTCAGAGAATTGAAGTTCACCTTTAATATATAGAATCCTATTTTTAATCTATGTAAGGCTCCATTCTGTTTAATTCAATATTAATTTTTCTCATTGTTTCTGTTACTTACACTTATTATTCCCCTCTAGTCCTACCAATGGACAATTATTCTAGGGGTTTTTATAGATCAATAATCAATATGACTGTTCATGTCTGCTTTTTCTTTGTGAGATGTTATCCCTAACCATGACAGTATAGTTTTGTCTATTTTTCCTTTTAGTATTTTCAGTTTATGTGCTTTTAACTATGTTAGTTGGGGTGCAAAAATTTAGGATTGTTTTGTCTGGTATGGGTTGGTCCTTTTAGCATTTTGAAGTGTCACTTTTATCTCTAGGCTCTGGAAATATGAGTCTCCTGATATTAATATAATTCTGTTGACTTTTTAAAAAATTAATATTTATCTTTTCCTATCTTTTTTCTTTCATTTTATCAATGTTCTTACTTTTAAAGTGCATTTCTTATAGAGCACATAAAGTTAGGTCTTGTCTTTTATCCAGTATGGCAATCTTTGTCCTTTAATGGAAGGGCTAGTACTTTATATTTAATGTACTCTCTGATATGGTTGGGTTTATGTCACCATCTTATTATCTCTCCAGTTTGCCTCATCTATTCTTTGTTCCATTGTGTCTCTGTTCCTACCTGTTCTTGGATTAATCAGGGTTTTCCTTTTCATTCATTCTTTAATTTCCTTAAAATTCTTTTTAATTGTCTCGTTGGTTCTTCATGTAAAACTGTTTGTGTTATTATTTTATTGGGCGACGCAGAGATAATAGTATTCATTCTTAACTTGTCGTAGTCTGCCTCTAACAGGATTCCACTATAAAATCCTTAAAATAATGTAATTCCTTTTTCTTTTCATACCACCCTTTGAGAGCTGTTTTTGTCATATGTATTTATTTCATATGTTGTAAATGCCACAGTACATTGCTAATATATTTGCTTTAAATAGATGGTAGTCTGTGAATAGCTTTGTAACTACTCCCTTCTCCTTCTTGTCCATCTACAGACTATTCTGACTTTCTCTATTACTCCTCACTGAAATTCCTTTAGTATCTCCTTTATGACAAAATCCACAATGTGTTCATGTGATTTAAAAAAACAAATTTAAAAAGGATATTTCATGAAGTTTCTTTTACCCCCATCTTTTTTTTTTATCTGTCCTGGGTTCAGTACTCAGATTCCCATTGCAACTCCTTTTTTCATTTTATGTGTATTTTTTTGATTGAGGTTAATTGACATATACCAGTATATAAGTCTAGTTAGTACTTGTGACCATACAAATTATTTTTCTTGCAATGAGAACTTTTAAGATCTGTTCTTTTAGCAAGTTTCAATTATGCAGTACAGTATTATTAATTATATCCCCAATGCTGTATATTACAAGGGGATGACTTACTTATTTTATAACTGGCAGTTTGTACCTTTTCACTTCTCATTTCACCCATCCCCCAACCCCCTTCCCTGACAACCACCAGTCTTCTCTCTCTATCTATATTTTTGTTCTGTTTTTTTTTTTTCCTTTTTGAAGTATGGTTGATACACAATATTATATTAGTTTCAGGTATACAACATAGTCATTTGATAATTATATATATTATGAGATGCTCACCATGATAGGTACACATACAAAATTATTAAAATACTATTGACTATATTCCTTATACTGTACTTTCATCTCCATAATTTATATATTTTATGATTAGAAGTTTGTGCCTTTTTATTCTCTTCACCTATTTCACCCATCCTTCCATGCCCTTCCCCTATGGCAACGACCAATTTGTTCTCTGTATTTATGAGTCTGTTTCTGTTTTATTTGTTGTTTGTTCATGTTTTACTTTTTTTTAGATTCCACATGTAAGTGAAATCATATGGTATTTGTCTTTCTCTGTCTGAAATTACACTTAGCATAATACCTTCCAGGTCTATCCACATTGTCACAAATGGCAAGATTTTATTCTTTCTTATGGCTGAGTAATAATCCACTGCATATACCAAATCTTCTTTATCCATTTATCCATTGATGGACATTTAGATTTCTTCTATTTCTTCGCTGTTGTAAATAATGCTGCAGTAAACATACAGGTGCATATATCTTCTTGAATTAATGATTTTGTTTTCTTTGGGTAAATACTCAGAAGTGGAATTACTGGGTGGGTGGCATATCTATTTTTTATTTTTTGAGTCATCTCCATACTGTTTTCCATAGCAGCTGCATCATTTTACATTTCTACCAACAGCTCACCTAGGGTTCTTCCTTTTCTCCCTTTTCTCCACATTCTGTCCAACACTTGTTATTTCTTGTCTTTTTGACAATCACCCTTCTAAGTAATTAGTATGAGGTGATACCTTATTGTGGTTTTGATTTGCATTTCCCTGATGATCAGTGATGTGGAGCATCTTTTCATATGTCTCTTGGTCATCTATATGTCCTTGGAAATATGTCCACTCAGATCTGCCCATCTTTTAATCAGATTGTGTTTTTGGTATTGAGTTATATGAGTTTTTTTAATATTTTGGATATTAGGCCCCTATCAGATACATTATTTATAAATACTTTCAGTAGGTTGCCTTTTCATTTTCTTGATGGTTTGCTTTGCAGAACCTTTTTTAATTTGATATAATTCCACTTGTTAATTTTGTATTTGTTGCCTTTGGTGTTCATTGAAAAAATCATCACCAAAACCATTGTCAGGGAGCTTACTGCCTTATTTTCTTCTAGGAGTTTTATGGTTTTATGTCCTAAATTCAAGTCTTTGATCCATTTTGAGTTAATTTTTGTGTATGGTGTAAGAAAGTGGTCTATTTTCATTCTTTTGTATGTAGCTGTCCAGTTTTACTAACACTGTTTATTGAAGAGGCTGTTCTTTTCCCATTCTGTATGCTTGACTTCTTTGTCATAAATTAATTGACAGTAAGTAGTTGGGTTTTTATTCTGTTCTGGGCTGATTGATCTGTGTGTCTGTTTTTATGCCAGTACAATACTGTTTTGTTGTAATAGCTTTGTAATGTAGATTGAAGTCAGTGAGCATGATGCCTCCAGCTTTGTTCTTCTTTCTCAAGATTGCTTTGGCTATTCAGGGTCTTTTGTGGTTCCATACAAATTTGATGATTGTTCTGTTTCTGTGCAAAGTGCCTTTGGAATTTTGGTAGGGGTGTCATTGAATCTGTAGTATGCTTTGGGTTGTGTGGACATTTTAACAATATTCTTTCTTTCAATCCCTGAGCATGGAATAACTTCTCATTTTTTTGTATCTTTTTGTAACTTCTTATTGTTAGGTTCTGGTGTGTCCATCCGA